ACGTGCCCCCAGTCACGTCAACATAATTAAATAAAGTATAGTCACAACGCAGAGCGTGAGAGTGAAAGGACTCTAAGCAGTCCAACATCTCGGGTCGGATCTTCCATATTGTATTTTAAGAGCATGTTGACTATGATAACTAAACCTAAAAACGGGGGTCAAACCTACAGGTTTGTAGCGCCTATACCAAAGTCGGCAACGTTGCCGGATAATGCAATGAATGCGGTTATGATACGTAATATTAATATAATAGCCTCGTTTCCTAGGAAGGGAGATGAATTCGACCTCGCCGGTAGAAAGGTGTTATCAATAATTTCTCTGGTGTTAAATCATCCAGGGTCCTGTCCTGGGCCCCTCCCCACCCCTTCCCTCCCCGGCCGGCTGGTCTTGGCAGTCTGGTCGACCTGACATGAATAGCCCGCCCCGCCCCGCCCGCCCGCCTCGCCCTGCTCTGCATGCTGGCCGTGATGCCTAGTGGCCCAGCCCAGCTTTCTACGCATTATGTCATTCTGCTTTAAATTTGAAGGCAACGCCCACGTCGCGTGTTGGCTGCCATCTCAGTCAGGGGAATCCAGATTTTGCATCGTACGCGGGCGTGAGAAAGGGGTGGCCACACACGCGTAAATAGGATATGCGTCCACACACACACACACACTTACACACACGGGCACGTGGGCGCGCCGGGAGGGGGGGGGGGGTGGAGGTGCAAATCAATGCCCCTTTAGGGCTCACCCGCCACAGGCGTATACAAGCGCTTTGGCAACAAGGTCGGATCCATATCGAAGCCAAATAACAATAAAGACTTTTGCGGACTTTTGTTTTTGTCGCGGTTTTTGTTCTCTAATGTCCGCAATAGTTCTGAACTAAAAATGGCCTTGTGGGAAATGTAGTCGATTCAACGTCGAATTCGAAAATTCGTCGATTTGCTGGAGAAAATCGAATCGCTGTCGAGTCGAATTTGGCTCGCTCGATGAATATCAACCAAGGGAGCGTTATCGGGATTGCATTTCTCACTGGGGGGAGGGGGTGAACCCCGGACATATGCTTTTATGGATTTAGGAAAATTGCACGAAAAATAAAGGGCGGAGTTGACGCCACCTCCGCGATTGCGGGCGCGGATTTAAGGGGGGCAGAGCCCCTCCCCCCGCCCCCATCCTTTCTTATGAGCCGTGCTGTCGTTGGTGACGATAGGCAAATCCGCCCCCACACCGGCATACGGACGAGCATACCCTTTTGCTGGTCATCAAAAAATTAACAAGAAATTTGTCGTTTCCATACAACATATCTTTTTAACAGTGCAGGTAGCACGTACCCACAATCCTGTGGAGCTAATAATCTGAACCCACGATGGAAGGGGGTTCACCGTACAGTGCTCAATCTAGTTTTTCTTATCTCACCTTTTTTCAGCGTCTCCACTGAAAGCTGCAGCTGATATCGTAAACCAATCTGGCGCCCGCCGGTGATCATTGGAGGATGCTGATCACCAAAGGCAAAGTGAGTTATTGGTGGCCCAGTCCCGGGGTTATGAAACTTTCGTGGCTGGCTGATCTCTACCTTGGCATTCCATCCAATCAACAAAAAGTAGTCGGGGGAAACAACGCGCATGTTTTCAGAGACTCAGTGAACGGAATAGAATAATAGAATCATCATCATCAATGCAACGGCCGCGGCTTTGTCAAATTTAACATCAAGGTGTATATTCTTAAATTCTGCACCTGTAATTCCCCTTTTCCAACAACAACTTGTTAGTGGGCTCATGTTAGCCGATGTTAAGTCAATGCCCCACACGGCTATTGACGCTCACAATCTCGGTCGCCCTCCGTGGAGCACCTACCTGCTCGCGTGCAAGGCAGGCCACCGCTCTTGCAGAAGTGCACATTGTTTTGCCTATCCCGAGATCTGCAGGCGCTCGGCAGCTGGCGTACCGCCGCTGCGCTGCAGTCCGCACCGCACCACCCTGTTCACAGAACGGTGTGCGTTGTGCGAGAAAATACACCTCCTGAGCCCGAACCCTGAGCCTAAATCCTCCAACCCCCTTTTCCCGTTTTTCCTTTGTGCGTACCGGTGCGTTAGGGTGGCATAAAGTTTAAGTTGAAGCACATGTCTCGGATTTGGTCCGAACGTGGCTTGTTTGAAAGGCGGGCACTATACCCTAGTAGCGCACACACGTTCCCACTCGGAATCCAATCAAACAGGCAGGGAAGAGATAAAGAACGAACGTAATTTGAAGTCCAGCAGGGGGGGGGGGGGGCTGGCAAGATGCAGCAGCGTCGTGTGGCGACCGCACAGCATCTAGTCTGACAACTTTCTACGTGTGACTACCCGAGCCACCGCTCCATACCACCGCGCTACGCCCCCCTCCCCCTTCCCTAACCCCGGCCAAGTATATTTGAACGTGTTTTATCCCAGGTGATTATCACAAGTGTCGCCCCGTGCGCCGAACTACACATAATAGGCTGAGCTCAGCTTGCATCACCCCGAGAGGACGAGGGGGGCTAGAAAGGGGTGAACCGACCGAGGCCAACGTGCGCAGCGCATGTCGTGTCATAAAAAAATGTCGCTTGCTTTCACGAGCTTCATGAGCGTCCAGGTGGTCGCGAGGAAGGACACCCCACTGTATGCACAGAGTGGCGTTGTTACACCGGTGCACGCACACTCTCGGATTGCATCTCAGCTTAGCCCCCAAAACTATTGGGATGAGTCTCTGTCAATTCAAATGTGTACATGGTACACATTAAAGAAAGTGTACATGACATGTATGCTTTAATTAATGTGTACATGACTATGTACACATTTATAAATGTGTACATGACTATGTACACATTTATAAATGTGTACATGCCCATGTACACATTTATTAATGTGTACATGCCCATGTACACATCTTTTAAAGTGTACATACAACCGTTAGTATACATGCCATGTACACATCTTTTAATGTGTACATGCCCATGTACACATTAAAGAAAGTGTACATAGGCATGTACACATTTATAAATGTGTACATACCCATGTACACATTAATTAAAGCATACATGCCATGTACACTTTCTTTAATGTGTACTATGTACACATTTGAGTTGACAGAGTAGGATTGATTGGACGTGTCCATGCGCTTCGTATCACTATACGGCTTTTCTGAAGTCTTATGTCAATTCAATGGAAAGGTTCTTCTCTATCCGCATTAAAGTGATATATTCCTCCCTCTCCCTACCTCCCAGTGCATATAATGGGATGTGTAACATGTCGCTGGGCATGACTCCTTGCGCAACGCTCCAGTTACATGTCACAGGAAGGAAGTTGCGACCCGCCAGATCCTGATTGGACGTGGCGTCGAGGAGACGCTATCAATTCCCTTTAAATGGCCAGTGACAGTGATGGCCAGTTCCAGCCAAAGGCAAACTCAGGGCTTAGGCCGCTTGAACTGCCGGCCCAGGTCATGTCCGTCATCGCAGCTCCCAGCCGCGGCTGCCTTCCCTAGGGTTTGGGGTTTGGGTTTGTCCACCGCGGTCGCACGCAACCATGTCTTTGACTACTAACTGAGCTACTAATAAATTACCATGGTATTATGAAAACTACTGATCGACAGTTTCATGTTACTAGAATAGTATCAACCCATAGTCATATCTTTTGCACCTGCAGAACTATTTTTAAGACATTTATAATCTTGGAGTTTTATTTTTTAAATATTTTTTTGGTCTACAACAAAGCTTTTATCCTATACCTTCCAATCATTGCACATACATTCTGCCCTGCAACCAGGTTCTTCTTCTTATTATTATTATTATTTATTTAGCAACTAAGTACAGGTTTACAAAGAGTAACGGGTACAAAGTTAAGTCAATGCAAAAAACAAAAACAGCAATCACAAACAAATACAGATAGAGACAAGTTCAGAGTTCAGTTGAACTGTAGAAGGCACTGTTAAGTGATACCTTTTGGTGGCAGAGCACTTGAGAAAATTTTGATTTGTTGGAAAGAAGTGTCATTATAAACATTATTCTGTCTTTAGAAGCCATGACTTGTTTCATAATATCTGAGCTAAAACTAATATGATCCACACAGCGGTTCGATAAATATAGGCTGCGATCCATAAGCTCCTTGCTTATTCTGATAAGCTATGGAGCGGTCATTAAAATCTATGTTGGGGACTTTACTAGCACTGATTCGTTTCGGTAAAGCTAAGCTGCGCTTCCAATAATCCCTGCTGCGGCTGAAATATTCATCGCTGCGTTCCCTTACAGCATACAAGTATTCGATAAGAGCTACGTTTTTTATCATAATACAGTACAGCTCCCCTGATATTTTTCTTTCTATCCTTTCTTCTGTGCTCTCTCCTCCTCTCCCTTCTTTCCTGGTCTTGAGGCAATATTTCTCAGCAGCGACATCAATTGATTCAACACTTACATGGGTGAGGTTGATGGTAGGCATGTTATTCATGTCTGAAGAATTGGTCAGAATGGTCTAGGCCCACAAACACGCCAAAGAGTCAGTTTGTTCCATTCATACGGCACCTTCTTGCTTCCTTCTTGCGCTTGTTTTTGCGGCACCGCACATTGAGCAATACTTTCTCTACCCACTTCACGTTGAACTGGTCGTTATTTTGCATCACCTATAACTCACTCTTGTCCATGACAATCGTGCAAAATAAAATGCTGAGGGAAAACAAAGTTTCACCGATGAAACCTTCTTGCAGTCAAGTGTAAACAAAATCAAACAGCAAACATGGCGGCTTTGCCTTCGAAAGTCACTGACACCAACCTAATGCGTGACATTACATCTCCTTTTTCATCATTCTCTGCTCATTTTTTTTCGAAAATTTAGCGTAAAACATATTCTACAGTGTATTCTTACTTTTTGAAGCCAGTTTTAAACCCGAAATTATTTATTATCGGCAAACAGTTTCTACTAGCCCAGCTCTTCAGTGCTCTTTAGGTTTGCGACAGGACGGCGACGGCAGAGAGAAACATAAGAGTTACGCTGAGCACAAGCAGACGACACTTCTCTTGATCTTGTTGATGTCTATAATGCCGCCACAATCACTTATTTTTCGAGCTTTAATACGTTGCTTTAGGGTTGATTTCATATTTATATCTCAAATTTCTTCTTACTGTACTTAACCACCAAGCCAATAATTCAGAAAATCAACTTGTTCATAACTTACCAAATCAGTTTGCATTGCGTCGAAACCGCAAAAGGGTTATGTATCCCTGAGAAGAGTTTTTCCTCACAAGTGTTTCAGTGCAAATATAATGACAACTATGCAAAACACTTTAAAAGAACCACGAAAAAAAGGACATTTTCACAAGAAACCAGGAGATCCTCTCCCCGTACTTGTTGAAACTGAAACAGGAATACCAGCCCACTTAGCCATTTGGAAATCATTTTCTGGGCGTTTTAATGGCGACTGTGTTGAAGTTTCTGATGCTGAAGACATATCAAGCTTATATAACATGGTACTTGCTCTTTTTCTTCTCTACATTTTCCTTTATTTTCTAAATTGTGTGTGTGTGTCTGGGGGGGGGGGATTAAGTTTACTTAGAGAGCAATTGCAATGAATTAATCCCTATGGTATCATGATTGTTTCTGTTTTTGTTTTTTTTTCTAGGGCTTCTTTGGTAAAGGTTCATTTTCACGTGGTTGTCCAAGATCTGCTCGTAAAACAAATCACCCTGAGATAATTCGGGAAAGACAATGGAAACGCAGATGTGACTGGTCAAATCGGAAGAGTGATATTTCAAAAGTCGAAGATGGGCAAGAAGAAAAAGCTTTGCATGAAGATAACCCAGAAGTCATTGTTATTGGTGACACAGACAATGAAGAAGAAAATTTTATGTCACACTTGCAACCCAGGTATAAATTTCAATATAGGTTAAATGGTTTTGCTCATGATTCCTCTGCTTTTTTATCTGATATCTGTTATTTCTCTTAAGGTGATACAGCCTTCATTAAGATTTGCGGAATAGTACATGTGTTACTATAATTTTTTAATGTGAGCTTTGCATTTCCTTTCCAGGATTGAAAATGATAGTGGCTCTTCACCAGAAGTTCTTAATTTACTTCTGGAAGAAGCATTATTTTTGTGCTATGGTTTAGGATGTTTGTACATTTTTGACATATCTGGTCAGAAAATTTTAAATTGTGATGAATTTTGGGCTCTTTGCCTTGAGATTGATACACGTTTTATAGAAAGATATGTTACCTATCATCATTTCCGTTCAAAGGGTTGGGTTGTCAAATCTGGTTTAAAATTTGGAGGTGACTTCTGTAAGTAGATCCTCTTTCTACTCTTTTGTTCAATTTTTATTTTATGTATGTACAGAAGTGTATATTCAATTATTTGTGTTTGTCTTTTTGTTTTAGTATTGTACAAAGATGGCCCAGGCTTTTATCATGCTTCCTATGTAGTCATGTCAAAAGTTCTTTATGGAGAAAATTCAATAGAGGCAGGTTCAATCAACAAAAAATTGGATTGGATAACACTTATGGGCCTCAACCGACTTGCAGAAACCTCGGGAAAAGTAATCTTCATTGGTGGTGCATTGCCTTGCGCCAGTATTCAAACATTGTTCCTAATTACCTTTAATGTGTTACAGGAAGTTCTTTTATGTTATGCCATAAGGCCAAATGGACTTTTACCTGGTCAACCATCCTCACCTAATGTGATAAAGAAATTTAAAGTACATGAAGTTATTCCCAGACGTTGGCAACCTTCTGTAGCAAGAATTGACAATAGTAACCCTCCAACTAAACCAGAAAATGAAGAATCATGTATATAAAGCATTTCTTTCTAGTATACTAAGGATGTGAGTTTTTGGGAAAATATGTGAGATAAACCATATGGTGATTCACTTTTCGCTTATCTTCTTCATTTTTGATCACTATGTATAAATATTTTTGTATTCAAACTGATTTGAAATCAAATTATTGCTTAAAAGATCATTTAATTTCGTAAAACAAAATATAATTATCACATATTTATTTAAATTAAAATTAGCATTTTTTTCTTATTAATATACAAAATACATACTGTATCACATGTGCAAATTAATACCCTGGGGAAGCTTCAAGCTTTCCTTCACTTGCCAACAAATGAGGAAACAAAAAATGTTTTGTACATAGTATCTGTTCATATCACAATAACTTGCTTTTAAAAAAAAATATCCATAGGTTTTGAGAGGTCTGCACTGGTCACTCTTTGCTTGGTGGTGGAACCCATCCGCCAAAGGCTGCTTCAAGCTCCTGACCTATTGTTAGTGAGAGGCGATCCTGGTACTTATTTGCTGCAACCTGTAAGTGGGAAACATTCAAAATTAAACAAAAGTATGATATATTTCTTACCATAGGCTGTCTGCAAGACATGCATGTGCCTCACCTGGAGGCCGACGGGTCGACCGGACTGTCCGAGGCCCAGCGGCACCTGGGTGACGGGCAGCCCCAGCGCGTTGAACACCATGAGGTAAGAGGAGTTGAGCAGCTTGCACCAGAACAGGCCGATGCGGTGCGCGGGCTCGGGCAGGCTCGGGTACAGCAGCACCGCGTCGGTGCCCAGGGCCGCCTCGAGGCGCGCGCCCAGGGCGGTGCGGTGCGCGTCGGCAGCACGCACCAGGCGCTCGGGGGTGCGGGTCGCGATGGCGAAGAGGACGCCCGCGATGACGGAGTGCAGGGTGGAGCGGGACCGGCACGTGAGGAAGCGCCACAGCTCGGGCCAGGCGCGGTGCATGGAGTCGGGGCGCGCGGGGTCGTAGTGCACCGTGTGCACGCGGCGCAGCTGCAGCATGGCGATGGCCGCCGAGCCGAACGCGTCCTCCAGCCCGGCCAGCTGCAGCGGCTGCACGTCCAGCCCGCGCGCGCGCAGGTGCTGCACGGCCCGTGCCATGGCCGCCCGCACCTCCGCGCCCACCCGGTCGCTGCACGCGCTCGACGGCTCCGACTCGATGTAGTACACGCGCACGGAGCGCAGGTCCACCTGCAAGGCACGCAGACAAGCCGGGTCATGTGGCGCAAGCGGAAAGGTAAAGCACTCGTCTTATCCCTATCGCCTTTTGATCTGCAGAGGCTGTGAAATATTGAGGCAAGAGTTGTGACCTGAGTGCTTTCTCCACTCCACCAACCCTGTGCCTCCACTAGGTGCGTCCATTTGCCTATGTCTAACTACAGGGTGGTCCGCGCTGTTCTCCCCTCTGGTTGTACTGCACCGAATGCATGCATGCATGCAGCAGACAGGTTACATACTATTACGGGGCCGTAAGGCGCCTCGGCGAGCCCGCCCGCACGCTTGCATCCGGTACAGTATAACCAGGAGAAAGGACGGCTCGGGTGGACCACTCTGTATACCCTACCCAGTGAAAAATGGGAACGTGCATTCGGCGTCGAATGGACGTGGAAGTCGAGTTATCGAAAAGATGTGGATTTGGGGGACAAAATGACGTTTACTCGACTGTTTCGACGTCGAAGAAAACTCATTTCTCACTGGGCTAGCTACGTGGCCTCGCCTCCTAGAATCACTGGGTGCGTCCGTTTGCCTATCTCATAAGTCATTCCTGCCTGTTTGCCTATTCCATCAGGTGCGCTCTGCGCCCTGCGCCTGCACACACGCTGCACCGCACCTCATCCAGTGCAAAAAATACAATGAAATAATAACCGTCAAAACAATACCGAATTGGACGTCGAAAGGGTGTCGTTTTGCCATCGCCAGTAATTTCTCACTGGTCGGAAGGCCATCTCACCTTCTCGTCCAGCCGGAGCTGGGGCGCCTTGTCGCCGGCGAGCACCTTGAGGGCCAGCGGCAGGTCGGACACGTAGCGCGCCATGGGCGCCTGCGTGAAGAAGTTGGGCCAGCGAGGGTCGTCGCATTCGGGAGCGTGGCCTTTCCACGGCACCACGGCTGCAGAAAAGAGGCAAGCATGTTTGAGTACTCCTGCGAGCTCAGAAATAGTGCACGACATTTGTTTCCTTTTCTTCAACTTTCGCGGTGCATTCGCGCAGGCAGGAAAAATGGAGACCATTGTTTCCTTTTTCGAGTCCATTCGCATGACGTAGTTGGACGGCGGTCTATTTAAAAGGCGGCGCCTCGTTAGAGTGTGGATGTGAATTGAATTCTAGGATGGCTCACTAGGTGTGAACAGACCGAACATGCGAAATACGTACCACCTATGAGACCTTTCTTTCAATTTCAACCAGCCGACATTCAATTCCAATGATGCGCAGCTTGTGTGAAACTGTCGCCGTGTGTCCCTACCCCAATAATTGCCGGCGCATCAGAGTCCTGCAGAAAGTACGCCCGTCATCGCCGTTACGAACGTGTCAAGTTCAGCCTCAACAAGCTCTTATACCGCCTGGCAGGTAGGCAATATCTTGCCTGCAGGGCATGCGTGTACTGCGGGATGGCCTACCCCGTGTCCCGCAGGCGCCCAGCTCCCGTAATTTGCCGGTTGAGTCTGAGAAAAGCGGACGCACTTTTTGGACGAACCCTCGTACACCAAGCAACACTTTACCTGGCGTCGGCTTGTGGCCGGCAACACCGCAGAAGAAGGCAGGCAGTCGGCAGGACCCGGCGATGTCGGACCCGAGGCCCATGATGGAGGCAGCAGAGCCCAGAAGCGCTCCCTACATAAAACATAATAGTTTAGGGAACTCAAAAACCCCGTCTCTACAAACGTTTTTCAACTTCTATTTAGCCCAAACTTTTTGAAACAGTGACCGAGCCTTACCTCTCCGCCGGACGAGCCGCCCGCCGTGAGCCTCGTGTCGTAGGGGTTGAGCGTGCTGCCGGTGTAGGCGTTGTACGACTCCCACCACAGGCAGGACTCGGGGGTGTTGGTGACGCACAGCGGCACGGCGCCGGCCGCCCGCAGCCGCGCCACGCTGGGGGCGTCCTCGCGGGCGCAGCGTTCCTCGCCGTCGCGCACGGGCTGCCCGCCGCGGAAGGACAGTCCTGGGGGCGAAACAAACAAAGTTCAGAAATGCACTTCTTGTCGTCCGCGTGCAACTTTATGGTGTCCGCGGTGGTCGGGGCGCGCGACGCGCGGCCTTCACGTTATCAGTGCGAGTTATCAAAACAACGGGACTCGGAAGCAAATAGCGGCAGCATCGATCTGGGCGTTTTGTCTGATCGTATCAAGGACGCGTGTCAGTCACGTCCGTGTGCAAACCCAACCGCCCGACTGACCTAACCGGGCACAACACGCTACCCGGCGCCAAAACAACGAGTAATTTAAATGCATCGGAAGCGCTGCCTATATCATCAGCAGATGGCTGATTCAGCCCGCGCACCTAGTCATACTGCGTGCGTGCGGGCTTGCCGATCGACCCTGACCACGGCGCCATACGGGCCGAGCGAGCAGGCAACCCAACCGCACGTCGGGGAATGCCGTACAGCATAACTCCAGAAATGCGCGGGGTAAATCGGCCACCTGGTATATCCGTATCCTCTATCTCTTTTACCTTTGACGGCAATGGATTCCTTGACGGTGAAGGGCACACCGAGGAGAGGCATGTCTGCGATCGACTCGTCCCCGGCGTCCAGCTTGGCGTCGATGTCCCGGGCGTCCTGCATCGCGTCGGCGAACCGCTGGTCCACCACGGCGTTGACCACGGGGTTCACGGCCTTAATGCGCTCCACGAAGGCGGCCACCACGTCCTCGGCGCGCAGCTGAGAGAGGCAGGTAACTTAAGAGTAAGTCTACTGGCGTTGCGCAGTGAAAATAATCGTAAGTAAGGAAAATTTTGCTCATCCACATGTAATGCGTGTCGTAAAATTACAATTTGAAATTGTATATTTACCAGCAATTCGTAGGGAATTGTAATAATTGATCGTCTAGCAAGAATGGGCTGTTGCAAATTTACAACCTAATTTGTAAATAGAAGTTACAACAACAAATGTTGTAAATTTACGAGGATATATTTTTCAGTGTGGCAGAATCAAGCAGAATACAACGAGTATGATCGCGACCGTTTCGAGTTCGAGTTCCCATACCTTTCGAGTGCGGATGGCGGCAGCGATGCTGGAGGCCTTCATGGTGAGGATGGGGTTGTCGAGGGCGGGCACCCGCCGGGAGCGCGGCTTGGTGACGAAGCTGATGAAGGTGAAGGGCCGCACGACCAGCACCCCGAGCAGCCAGATGAGACTGTAGATCAGCCACCGGAGCCATCGCGAGGTGAAGGTGGTGGGCGAACCTGCAACACGTCAACAGGTAATTATTGAGAAGAAGTGCGAACCATGCGAACATTGTTTTGTCAGAAATCGACCGTAAAAAAAAAAGTAAACTTGTGAAATCATACACGAGACTTCGTCCGTCATGTTAGCGACGGAATCACAGTCCCTGTCACACACAGGGTGGTTGGCCCCTGCCTGGATGCCGACTGCACGCGTTGACAGCTTTCGGCTACCGACCGGCATGGTTAGCCAGATAAATACCGATATCGATTAATCAGATACAGACAGAATGCCGGGCTATGTAATCTCGAGCCCTTCTGCTATGGCTTCCTGGTGCGGGCGAGCGGGAGTACACACGTCCGAGAGCGTGAAGTTTCGCACTCGGTTTATCTCACGAAAGCCAAAGGTAGGCAGCGGGTGTGCGCGTGCGTGCGGCGCGTTGCCTACCGCGCGCCACACAGGCGCTCTGTTGCGCGGCACGCCATAGGAGAAGGTGGAGGAAGATTACCCCTTTCGCGGTTTCAGCCAAAGCTCGCCAAATTGTCGATATAATGTGCCCCTGGACGCGTCAGGCGATGGCGGTCGCCTGTTGGAGGTAATCAAGGATGATTGTGTCGCCCGTTCCGTCGCCTCCGCCGCGCGTCCAGCCCAGAGAGCGCGAGGCGGGAGGGAGGCCTGCCAGCTGAGGCCGCAACAGCGCAGACAATTGGCAGAACAGGGCGGCTAAAAATATGCACAAAGCTGCTGAACGCCCATTTCGGGATTGAAATCAATTTGGAGGTGGGGAAAGGGGAGTAGGGGCAGAATAATCAAGAATGACTAATTGCCTTTCGTGACGAAAAAGTGCAAGATTTTAGTTTTTCTTGGGTGTGTTTTTTACCGAACAACGGATGACAAATATGACAGAGGGAACAAATTTGAATTTCCACCGCGCTTATTTGCCAGTAGAAGGCGTCTCTCATTCGGTCATTATGCGGTGAGACGAAGCTCCTGACAATCTTCAGACCAGCGATAAAGCTGCACGTCTGCGCCGACGGCCACCTGCTGCCAGCACTTGACTGGAAGGGCAAACAATCCTGCACGCCCGGCTAACACCCGACAGCGGCGAAGCCAACTTGTGTGTTTTGGAGGATCTGTTGACAGTTTATTTTGTTCGCGTGTACGTGCGAAATTTGTCCGGAAGTGGGCGTGCATCAGGGTTGTCTCTGTGTCATTCTCAAAGCAGCAAACTTCAGGGAACTGAGAGAGGAGGTGGTCATATGCTTAGCGCCTTTCTGTGTGGAACAAGCTTCCCTCTCGAATAAAAACTGTCGCTTATGATTGCTACTTCATAACCCTTGCCGTGCCTGGGGGCGGCCGGGGGTGGGGGCCTGCGCCGTCACAGTAAACTGCATTTTGTTGTCGGCAGGTGAGACGTGACACCTGCCGCGGCTCACAACGGAACTCGGCCGCAACATCAGTCTGTTTGTGTTTGGCCGCCCGTTTGGCCGCCGATGGCCGCCCGGGCCGCGGCCGCCCCGTTGACACCGATTAGGGGGATGCGGCTAACGTGCGACTGGCGAGTCGGCAAATGAATGGCAAGGGCGAGTGGAGAGGGGGGGGGGGCACTCGGGCAAGGTCGCCGGTGGTCGCCCCGGCCGGCGGTATGGGTTGCGGGTCGCGGGCCCGGGTCGAGTCGCTCCAGGGGATGTGCCGAAGCAGGTGGTTGTCCGCGGGTAAATGCTAACTCATTCTTGTTACGGCACGGCGGGGGTCGGCCGATCGTTTTACTTTGGAATGCGAAGCACACTCATCCCCCACAAACGATAGTGTGAGAGGTTAGTGCCCAAAGGTATTAAAAATTAGCAGCTGTGATTTGTTTCAACGCCTTTCTAGGGGTGCTGATTATTCATGCATTTGGAAAGGGACCGTCCAGAAAGTTCGTCCGTTTTTCACACATTCAATCGGCAAAGTGCGGAAGCTTGGCGCCTGCGAGACTTGGGGTAGGCCAACCCGCATTGCGCACATGCTCTGCATATGAGATGTTGCCTACCTATCAGGCGCTACGAGAGCTTGCCAGGGCGAAATCGGCAGTTCTGTAATGACGAATGACGGGCGAACTTTCTGCATGATCCCAGTTTGTTCCCCCCGACTTTATCCTCATCTCTTCCTCCAAATGCAGCATGCTCACTAGTCCTCCCCTAAAGACCTCCTTTGCGGGGGATAGTGTCCCCTACGAAGTGCAATCCAAATAGCACTAGAACCATGATTGTAAGAAAGGGGCGCGAAGAGAGGTCACTCAGTCACTAGCGAGTAGCGACACAAATGTAAGTAGTCCACTAAGATGGTCAGAATCAGCATCTCTACATCTTGAAAATACGAATAAAACCACGAGATGGTAATGATGGCGTGGCGTGTTCTGGGACGGTCACAAACTGATCCACTACCCAAAATGCAGAGGTGGCCCGGTCCCGACCCAAATCTAAACAATCCCTTTCCCTTTTCGCTCCGATCTGTTTAGACGTCAGACGTCAGCTCACCGGTCTCGACGGACATGCGTCCTCTTACCTGCCGGGTGCCGGGCGGGCCCGTCCTGGTGCACCTTCGCCTTCCCGGCCGCCGCGCCGCTCAGGAGCGCCGAGAACCACGAGAGCTGCTCTCCTCCCCACATGGCGGCGAGAGCGAGACTGACGGCCGGTCTGGAGGAGGGGGCCGCGCCTGGCCGGAGCCCGACGAGAGGGGCGCGGCGTGGGTCTGGCCCTTGGCGTTATTGTCCTCCGCGGCGACACGAGAGTGCACAGTAGAGCGGGCGAGTGCGAGTGGACGCGAGCCTCGAGCCGCGAGCCCCGCGGCGGTGAGGAGGCAGACGACTGCGGCGCGTCAAGTGCGCGGCACACTGCGCGGGCCGGCGGGGCGGGCCGGTGGCGGGGCGTGCGGTGCGCTAGGCGATGCCTGGCCCCCGCCGCCCCCGGCCCGGCCCCGCCCCTCAGCCCCGCGCCGGCTCGCGACTCGGTTCGGCTTCGGCTCGGCGAGACGTCTAAGGTTTTTCAATCGCGCTCACCCGGCGCAGAGCCCCACGCACATCTCCTAGGGTCACTGAATCGAAGGTCCCGCCCGAGGGGTCCGCAAGTACGGTCTGCCGGTGTACACATGTGGTGGGCTTCCTAGTTTTCCTAGGTTTTCCTAAGGTTTTTCCGGTCTTCAGAACTTTTTCTTGGTCTTCCCAATATCTTGGTTTTCTGAGATTTTCTAAAGGCTTCCTCCAGTTTTCTGCGGTTTTCTCGCACTTTCATCGGTCTTCCCTTACATTTTCTGGTCTTCCTTGAAATTTCTAGGTGTTTCCTAAAAAATTTCCGGTCTTCCCTTATATTTTTCGGTCTTCCGTCACATTTGTGGCCTACGATTTTCTTGGTCTTCTTCGGTTTTCTTTAGTCCTCCTGGTGGTCTTCCCGGTCTTCCCAGTTTTCCGGGCGGCCAGTGTACGCGCTCGAACCTAGTTGCGGACCCCTCGGTCCCGCCGCCGCCGCGTCGTACGGTCGCCACTGTCATCGCTTACTCACTACAGCTGATGCGGTGGGCTGGGGGCTGGGTGGGCTTTGTTATGCGGCTCTGGCACTCGCGATCAGTAGGGGAGGGGGAGGGTGGGGATGAGGGGAGGGGAGGGAAAGCTGCAGCCCCTTTATGGTTTCGCGTGGTAAGTCCGACTCGCTCCCGCTGAAGTCCCAAAAGTCACGTGTCGAGGTGGGGGCTGCGGTTGGACAGGGGTAGCGGAGGGGAGGGGAGGTGGAGGGGCTCTTTAGCCCTGTAAAACCTGTGGCCTTCTCATAAAGAGGACAAAATTTAGGCATTATTTAATCATGAAGCCAGAATCCGGCATTCGCAATAAAGAGGAATGGCAACATTTTCACAATATTGGCGTTAAAAGTAGTGAACCTCCAACACTGCGCTTTATGTGGGGAGGAAACACTTCACTTCAAAGGAGAACGTTCGTATCGGCCAGGAACAGAAACCATAGCCCCCTCCACTCCTAATTGTACTGTATAAATTCGGGGCCCCTTTCGGCCTATGACCCCCTGTAGGCTAAGCCTAGGCAATTGTTTTGTTAGCCTGTTCCGGGTGGTTTTGCCGAAGCTCCCTCTGCCCCCTATGCGAGTAGGCAAACGCGCCCCCACCGGCGCGTGTGTTGAAGCATATTATCCTCCTGACTCCGCAGCCCACGACAGTCTGCCTGCCTGCCTCACACTCGCACCCGCAATCATAATACAGTGCGTGGTGAACGACGTCACCGATATCGCGACCCAATTCCCATCAAATGATGAAGATTCTTGAAAAAGAAAAATAAAGATGGCAAAAAAGGAGCGAGAAGAACGAGCGAGCAAACGACCCCGCTTTGTTTTTATGTACCGCCTCTACGTTGCTCGTGCATCACTGCATTCGCCTCGTCGCGAGTTTCTTATCACGCGTCTATTGACTACTTAAGGCTAATTGTACAACTTGTAACACTGCCACAGTGTCGTTCAGCTCAACAATAAGAAATTACTTCCGATAGATGCAGAGTTCAGGAGGTCACTCGCGAGCAATAACTTGAGGTGAATGAAATGCAGGAATCTGTCAGAGCAAAGGTCTACAGCCCAAAATCAAGTATCCTTGGTAGGGGGAAAATGTGTGGAGCTGATGACATGCACACTCCAGTTCATTGTGAATTCATCGAAACCATCATCAAAATATTCAGCAATGTCCCAACGTCCTTTTTGAGCCTCTTCTCCTTTAGTCTCACCTGCTCACCGCATGGTGCTCATTGTTTACGCCGACCTGGGCATGAGGGCATGAGCATGTGACGTATGTGCTCCTGCTGGACCAGAACCAGAACCAGGCACCCGGGCGGCGTCCAAGGTCGCTTTTTGTGTCCTTGGTGATCCGGTCGCACACCTCCATGCTGTGCACGTACTTTTGAAGAGTGTGCCTCGTGATGACCTCTGGTCGTGACAGTAATGCCTGCGCTGTAAAACTCGTCTCCGTCTTTGCGCTTCCTTCGTCCCCACGTTACAGTGCAGCTTCCATTGTACAGACAGGTCGTGAGCCCGCCTAATGATAAGTGCCAATACCACCGCCGCGCCCCTCGCACCCCGCGCCGCCAGCCGACTGATTCCGAAGAGCGCTCTCCTATACCTTCCGTTTAGCTCCGTCATGGGGCAGCACCCCTTGAGCACTCTTCGGAATCAGTCTGCAGGGAACGCCCGCCGCGCCGCGCTGCATGGCTGCGGGAGCGGAGATAAGGGCCGCCCCTCTCTGCTCTGCCGCCCAGCACTGGCACTTGGCACGGCGTGTACGTTTGAACTTGGACCTGCTGCCCGCCGGCCGGCGCGCACGCGTAGCGTAGCGCAGCTCAGCGAGCCTGCCGTTATCTGGGTTAACGGAATAGTAGGGCAGGTCAGATTACCGAATAACGAACAATTATCAGATGGTGGCATTTTAAGCGTGGCCGGGTGTCAAGGGTGAGAAGATGCTCACGATCAGCCTCACGACGCCCATTACGCCGATCTCGTCTCGATTTATCGAGCGTTCTGCGCTATTCTTGTGGGAGTGAGAGGCCTATTCAGGCAGCGCAATGCCGCCGGTGTCTGTCCGGTGTCCGCGGACGGCCCCTCATCATCTGTGAGAAAGTAAACTCATATGTGCGTGTCTCCAGTCTCGGGGAAGATGAGGAGCTGCAGGATGTGGCGGGGCGCGAGCTGTCACAGAGTCACAGAGAGACTGGCGAGGCAAACCGGTTTACATACGCAGGCAGGCACAGGGTGTGCGCGGGAAAGTCAAGTGTGCCCCGGGTCCACGTCCTGGCTGGAGGGGACTCTGGTGTGGCCACAGAGATGCACACGGTGCTACTATCGAGATGAGTTGCGAGAGCAAAGGTTTCTTACCGGGCGCTGGAGGCTGCGTGGGATGCGGCCGCGGAGGACTCGACAAGGACGGCGAGGGCGTGGCCTCCGGTGGAGCGGCCGCCGCCGCCTCCTCGACCTCCACCAGCAGGTGGCCGAGGACGGCGTCCTGCGGAGACGCGTCTGCCACCCCTCCCGCCTGCAGCAGCATGGCTCCCCGTCGAGGTCGGCGCACGGCGGGCAGCTCGGTGGAGGTGCTGGAGGCCACGAGCGCGGGCGAGCAGGCGCCGGCAGGACTCTGGCGCGGAGCTGCAGTGCCGGTGCGGCGCGGGTGCTGCCGTCGGTGTGACTCCGGGCCCCGCGCGCGCGGGCGCGGCCGTGGTGCCGGCAGGCCAGCCAGGCCAGTGGCCGCTCCGGCTCCTCCCTCCTCCTCCCTCTTGGCACCCCCCTCGCGCCCCCACCGCGCCCCGCCGCAGCCCGTTGCAGGCGCCGGGCAGGTGCACCACCTTGCATCGTGCGTCAGGCCTGTACACAAAATGCACCTCTCCCCCTCCTCCCCCCCCTTCCTCTCTTCAGCCTTGTGCATCTGCAACTGTGATCTGCATCGTTGGTGAGTTCGGAGGAGTGAAGGTGGGAAGGGGACGGATACCCCCTGAGGTTTGTTTTCGAACGCGGACAGAAAGGTGACGCCTTCGGCGGCCAATAACCTTGCACTATCGCAGCAGATCGGCGAGGCGGCACCGAACTCCCCATCTCCAGAGAGGTATTAACCCGACCACCGAAAAACTGAACTGAACGGGCCAACGGCTGGGCTGCTTCGGCTAGTTTCAGCTGGTCTCCACAAGAACAATCTTGGTCTCCACGCACGGGCAAACGCCTACAGTGTAAATCACGACACAACAGTGTTGCGGGTTTGCCTACCCTAGGAACAACGGCGCCTTACGGATTGAGCGATTAGGCTAACCCGGCATTACTACTGCTGTGTCGTATCCCTGACCGACGACGGTATATATGAAAGTGCGAGGCGTCCGGAGAAAACACCGCACCGCTCTCTACTTCAACTAGAATCTGGGGAATCGCAGAGAAATCTATAACACACCGCGCGCGCGGGGTATCGCTGTCATTGCTGTCGGGGAGAGACGCCGCGGCCGTGTGCCGTGCTGCTCTCTGGCGGCTGACGGGGATAACAACGCCTCCGCCTCCTCCCGTTGGATTTCGCATACTGTCGGAGATCCCCCATAGCCTCACGCCGTCACTCGTGAAAGATCGAAAGCGAAGCTTGCGTTGTTGGTAGTAGTAGAAGTCCTGACTTCACTGACATGTACTGTTGTGATTGTCTGTAGTGAATCTGCCAAAATGATGGATATAGCTTTCGTTTTGAGAATGAATGGCTAACTAACTTAGTGAATGTGAAAAAGTGTCCCTCATCATGTGGACTGCAACGAAAACGAAGAAGTATGGCGTTGGTAAGTACCTGCTCTATGGCTTACAATTGTCAAAACATTTCGCCTGTGCAAATGTCGTCTGTACTCGTTATGGCTGAATGTTTTATTTGCTTCTCTAAGTCGCACAAATGGGCGTTCATCTCGAAATCAAATTATAACTGCCTACGAACAGTGTATTCAAGTTGTTCTACCGGCTATTTTCGATCAATAATGCCTTCTCTTAGAAAGTTGGTTTCTCAAGGGACTGATAAATTGCAATTTCTAAACATTCATTCGTTTTTGTGCCATTAGCGCTTTTCACCACTGTCTATGTTGATTCATTTAGCAACTCGGTCAGACCCCCAATTTCCGCCACGCTGTGGTTAATATGCCGGTCGCATTAATAAACAATAACCATAACCTTACTTGTGTGTTGTAATTTTAAGGAAATTGTTGTTTACTAGATTTTGTGTCAGCTTCATTTAGTTTCTACGCAGAGCAATTGGCTTTCAGTTCATATTATCACTACATTGTTCCCTCAACAAAATCTTCAGCTGTAGTAAACTTTAAGAACTGAACAGCTGTTGAATTTCTACTAGTTGGAGCTTTGTTATGGTCACTGGCCCCCAATCATTGTAATTTTGTGCAGTTATCTTTTGTTGGACTTTGAAAGAAATGAATGAATGCATACTCAGTTTCAATGAAATTTTTAATTCCTGTTATTTTATTCATCAATTTTCCATTGAATGCTCTACTAGGATTATTATTGTTCTACCCGTTCTGACCCCATATTTTTGTTTTTATCAGTTGAATGCATTTGAATGTTATTAATCCCTACTTTTCCTCTAATGTCTAAAACTCATGTGACCGTCCTCATCCTAATTACTTTATGGGTTTGACTTTATGCCTCCGTCTAAAACACAAATGTTACATTGAGAACAGTTGCAAAGTTGCGTACTCGAACTATGATGCTGAGGGATCAGAATGAATGTACAGTAAACTTGTTCCGACGTTACATCTCAGAGCAGATTTAGCAGTCATGACTTCCTTCAGAATATTTGCTTCACAACTCGTTGTGTGTTTGGCATGAGCGAGCATTGTTTAGTGATGACCAATGCGAGCCAAATACCAGGGCCTCTCTAAACCTCTGGCGGGCTCGCCGTGTCACACTCTTCTGCTGCCTGTCGGTGCGTTGGAGAGAGGACGCGCCACGCCATACGCAGGCACGCAGTCCCTCCGTTATCTTCCTGGGTGAGGAAGGCGAGGCGATGCCGTCCGATAGCTCACGGCATCAGGCCAAGAAGGTCCCCGGCCTGGTCATGCGGCGCGGCGGCGCGTCAGGGGCAGTGGGTCGAGCTGGTCGCGTTCAGTGTATATATAGCATATATAGCGACTGATCGTAATCGTGACTTTGATAACGAGGCGCGGCAAGTGAATGCTCTGCTAGTGTAACAGGACACCCGCTGCAGGGGTCACTGTCGTCCGTCAGTGGCGTGGCGTGGCGGCGAGGAGGACGTGGCGTGGCCGTACCCCAGAGGGCTGCAAGGGGGCGGGGGAAGGGGGGGGCATGAGAACAATAATGGGCGGAGTTGGAGTAATGAAGGGTTGCCCCCTCTGCCCCCTCCTCCCCCCTCCCATTTGCCTGTTTTTCCCCGCTCTAGCCGCACTCCGCGCTCGCCTGGCATTCCTTTCAATGTGATGCATGCCCTGCCCTGCCCCAACATTTCAACACGCAAGACGACAAACGTGTTCAAATGTTCAAATTTGGGTGGGGCCGTGCGCTGGCGGCGTGTCTGCTGGCTTGCTGCTGGCGCAGCTTGGCGGTGGCGGGAATGGCCTTCCCACGCGCTCGAGCACTAGTTCACATAGTTAAAATAGGCAAGAAGAGGAGGCGAGGGGCCCAAAGGAGTGAAGGGGCGCGGGAGGGGGAGCGCTCGGCATTTACATGCCAAGGTCGGAAGCTCTCCCTCTCCCCCCAAAAAAACCGCGGCAGAGCTGCTCTTCTGCATACTATTTCTCCTATCCGGCGGACGAGTGTACTCTCGGCGCCTGCTGGCGAGCTTGATGATACTATGTACACTGTCGTCGCAGCGGACTTGGCGGGCGACCTGCTCTTCCCTGCGTCCGTCGCCACCTGCCCTGCACATTGTTTTCGCCCCATGTCATCCTCCCCCTGAGGAAGTGAGCGGGCCGACCATCCTCGTCGTGACGTCAGCATCAGAGTGCCTCAGTGCGTGCTCGCTGCTGCAGTCGAGCAAGTCGAGTCAGGTCGGCTGCCGCCCTCGCAGTAAATCCTTCATCCCCGCTTTGTATGGCCGAGCCCGAGCCTTTTGGGACCAGAAAGCGGGGTCGCTCCCCAGCTCCCCGGTCTTCCGAAGCAATCCTGGTGGGAAAGGCCCGAACGGTGTCCGGCGAATTCCTGCACGGAAAAAATAGAGACAGTCTTAGGGACCGTCTAAAAGTCCGCGAAAAATCGCTAGCCTTTTTATTGCGAAGCTGGACAGCAGTTGACGGCCTGGTGCCTGGCTCTGCCGCGCTCCGGTTCTGGCTGGAAGCTCCTGTGCCGCAGTGTCCTTCATCTGAGGTCCAGCCAGCAGGAGGCTGGTGCGGGCTGGCGCCCCTCCGCTAAACACGCCTTGTTTGGCGAGTGCAAACGGTCCGTCCGCTCAACTAACCTACGTGGCGCAACGCTCTAACGCTGCAGCGGCGGCCTCTGGGCCGCGGCCGCGGCGAGCTCCGTCCTCCGGGCTGCTAATCGCGTCCGATTGCATCCTTCCTGCCCCAAGCGCTCTGCATGTCTGAGTCTCTCATGCCGCACGTCCCCGTCGGCACCGCGTCATGGCATGGCATGGGCGCGGCGGCGCGGCCAGGGCCAGCAACCAGCCGGTCTAAATTGATAACAACGTAATTGGAATGGAGACCGCTGGGCGTTTTTATTTCCCCAGTTTTCACATCCGCTCGGCCCGCTCTCTTCCCCTTTCTCGCCGCTCGTCTGTCTCTGAATCCTTGCGGTCCCATTAGCTGCATTAGCTGGGGTGCTAATTGGCATCACCCGGAAGTACGCCCTTGATTCAGATTCAACGTTTTAGCGCGGCCGAAAATACACACCACACGACCAAATTATTCGCAACTTTACTGCCGTGGAAGCTTCTTCCTCCTCCTGCTGTGTGCTCAGGGGGCGGCTGTTGGGCGCGCGCAGGGTGTCCTTAGCAGACTGGGGCCTGGAGGGCGCCTCGCATAGGGACGCCCCCTTCGCCGCCTCCCTCCGCGCGTCACCACTAAATCGTAATCAGCGAGAGCCGCGCTGCTCCACCTGTCTTCCGTCTTCCTTATCATCTGCGCGCCCCCCGGGCCCTTCTCTTTCTCGGTGGCCATTGCCTTCGGGGAGCTCAGCTCAGCATCGGCTGGCGGCGTCCCGCAGACGCACCCGGGCAATGAGATTCGGACCTGCCTGGACCATACCCCACCCCTCTCTCTCCCTCGATGCTCTCGCTTTCGCGAGCGGCGTCGCGACGCCGGCTCGGGGACGCGGCGGCGGGAAGCGGGGGTGGCGTCGTGCCGGCCGGCAGCCGTCCCGCCCTCCCTGTTGCAGGGGGTGGGGTGGACCGCGGGGTGGTGGTGGTGGTGGCGGGGAGGCTGCAGGGGTGGTGGATCACGCCGCTGCTGTGGGCCGCGGGCGGGCTTTGTGTGATAGCGACCGCCGCCGCGTGCCGGAGAGCAGAGGGCTGTTGGGCCGTTTGGCTCGTTGTAAAACTGCCTGCTCCTCTCGCCATTTCACCGAATCGATAGGGAGCGCGTAGACAGGAGGGCGCTGCTCAGGGGTTGCGCCGGGCGCCACCCCGTACTACTACTGTACTTCGCAGAGCAAGTCTCTCGCAGGGCGGCGCCGCGAATACGCGCAGCACCGTGCCATAGTGCCCGGGGGCCGGCGCGGAGCTGAGCGGAGCGCGGGTGATGACCCCAAGCCCGAGGTTTATTTCGCATTGTGCGAGCTTCTCTGTCCCTTACTGTTTTTGTCCTGGAAGCAGCAGAGAAGGCGGGGCAAGAAAGGGGGGGAGGGCGTGCTGGGATATGAAAAGGGGTGGGGAAGAAGTACCCTTTCTCAGAAGCGTATGGACTCCGAGACTGTGAGGCAGTAAACGAGTAAACGCACACTTAGCCCGGCCTCGACTCCTCGAGGCTCCACCGAGGGGAGGGCTGTAACAACAACTCGGCGCGGCTTTGCTGTTCTGTTTACTCGCGGCCGTGCGATGTACTGCCGAGGAGAGGAGGTAGGAGGTCGCTGATGACATGAACGGGATGGAGGTCTTGGTGCGATTCCATTTTCCATGGGTATGGGTGGCTCTGTCCGACGCGTTGCGTCCTGCCCCTTGATCCACGGGAAGGGCGCGCTTATTGTCCCCAACGAGCCGGTGCATCTGCGCGGCGCCGGTCCCGCCTAGAGAGACTAGTCCCGCCCCGGACTGCGGCCGTGGGCTGTGCGTTGATGAGTTGAGCCCCTCCGCCGGTCGCGCCGCGGCCGGAAGGCACGTCGTTGCCGCCCGGTACCGCGGCGGGGGTGCGGTTGCGGTCGGTCGTTCCTTCTTTTCCCCCCACGAGCAAGCAGGCGAAGGGCGAAGCACGAGGCAGGCATGCAGGGGTTATTCAGATCAACTCCCCCGCTAAGAGGAAGCTGGGCGAACAGGGTGGCAGTCATGCATATTTTCGTACACAGTGAGTCAGTCATGCCTGCCGGTTTCTGCTTTGACTCAAGTCTACCGAGAAAATGGGCGGAACTGAGAGGAGAGAGGGGGGGGTCAAGTCAGGAAGCCAGATGTTTAGCTGCTGCTGCTGACCCCCGCGAGGCGGTAGCGTCGGTCTGGTTTGTCCGCCGCGGCTCCCGACTTTCTCCGCGTGCTCCTCCCTTTCCCCCTTTCCCCCCTTGCCATGTGCGTATGGAATCTGGATGTGGTCGCTGGCCTCGCTGCCACTGCGCGGTCGTGGGTCGGGGATTGACACATTACGACGCGCGGCTGTGTTGTGCGTTGCGGGCGGACATGAACGTCAGGATCTTTGCTTCCTGTGCCGTGGCCGGCCCGCGGGCCCGCGGTCCCCGCTCCCCC